CAATAGAAATGTTTTCTTATTTAATTTTTACAACATGGATATAAGCCACTGCCGCACTGGACTATAATGCGTATTGGGCTGCAGAAATGTAGGAGGCTGTTATGTAACGTTACAGCTTTTTTCGCGCTCTTGTCTGCATCGGTCTATATTATAAATGTTTCAGAAATATAATTTTTCTGCTCGTCCGGCACTTTGCAACAACACAGCATTGTTTCGGCAGCGACTTGCAGCAAAAGTCCCCTCTAACAACCAATGACGTTTACATTTTATGTGGCGTGAGAGTCGCATACCACCCGAAATCCGATTGCATGATTAATTTTAAACATAAAATTAACTCTGGAAATATAGTTGTGATATGACGTGGCATTAAGGGCAGCCCTGCTAGTAGTAACACAGTGTCCATAAATCATGAAGATTATTTTTTTCTTTATATCGGCCACGCACGCACACTCACGAACTGACTGAACGTGTGTGTGATGATTGTTTTACAAAAGTCTGGATGTCATATTTGGCACGCGCACCCTCGCGCAGCGGCACTGCAGGAGAGCTTGAGACAAGCGTCACGCACCCATGTTCTGGATTCCCCTGCTTTTAAAAAAGATTGCTACATTATCACATTAAGTTGATAATTAAACACAGACGAAAACAGCCTTCAGTCCGACGGCCAGTCCGTGAGTTTAATCTTCTCTAATTGCAATTCGTTTGTTATGTCAGATGTCTTTTGACAAGGCTTACAATTTTTCAACATGCCAAAGTGGCTAGTAGGAGCGACTGTGTTACCCGCCACGGGTGAAATCCACCCCATTTGGCGGGTTGGCGGGTGTTAATGTCAAGCCCTGCCTATATAGTAACAGTTTCAGAATACAATAGCAAACACACCATGATTTGGATGTTTGGTGAAGTGCCGCTGCAGTTTTGACGGCTTCATTGCTTCATTGGAGAGGTTTTCACCACAAATTACACACAACGGATTTGACGCCACGGAATCGCCTGTTGTCGTGAATCCATACCTATGTATGAGGTATCGTATTTACGATTGAAGCTTGACCTTTTCATTTTCTTTCTCTATATTTCAAGTTGGTCATCGCCTTTCCTTTTACCGGAACTCTCTGCAATGAAATTAGCTATTAAAGTTTGCTGAGCCCGCTCATCTCTCCGCATAGGCTACTTCTGTCACTTCAGCTGCACGCACCGCGCTCAGTCTGTTTAGATATGACGCATTGCTAAGCAATCGGAAGGTGCTCAAAGAAACACGTTTTAATATTTGTATTTATTTGTATTCATTTATTGTTTGTGTTTTGGATTAAATAACATGACACGTTAAAAAGCATCTTAAAAAGACAAATATTATTATGGAAAAAAAAAAAATTCTGGGAATATTTCAAGGCCCGGTACTAACGTGTTCACGGACCGGCACCGGTCCGTGGACCAGGGGTTGGGAATCAGTGGTCTAGAGAACCAGCACTCAAGGATTTTTCGAGAAAGTTGAATCTGCACAGCCGTTCCTGATCCATTCGTATGCTAGAACTGTTCTTCTTCTGCTGAATGTTGTTAGACTCAAGCACTGCTGAACTGTTGCAGAGTCGAAGGTACTGAATCAATTTCACTGACATGTTCAGGATTTGAAGTATTGCAGGCCATTTGACAGAAATGCCTTTATTGTGCATTCATTGTTTATTTTAAAGGTTAACCTATGATGTAAAGGGGCTTGTCCTTTAATAAAATAAATAGTTTGCTGAAACCACTGTTTGAATTTTGCCTTTTTTATTTTACAGTGAACAGAATTCTGCTATGATCACAGATTAAGGTTACAATTTAACTTTCTGTATTGTTTTTATATAAAGTTTTGAAAGAGTAATATATATGTGTTTATTTCAAAGTGAATTCATTCTTTTCAGATTAAATGATTTGTCAGTTTATTTTACAGTTCTTTAATGAACAGCTCTTTTCTTGAAAAACTGGTAACTCTTTTGGTGTTGTTGTTGTTTTTTTGTAAAAAGGTGTTCTATCAACACCAGGGTGGTGTAATACTCGACTCCTAAGACTGAGAAGAATCTCATGATTAATGATTACCATTTTCTCTTAAAGTGTTTGGTCGACACCAGAACAGTGTAGAATTGTAACTCTGCCAGTGTTTGCCACAAAGCTGCACCCAGCTCTGTAACAATGTTGTTGTTCTCTGCATTGGTGGTCATATTTTACTCTTAGTGTTCATATTGTAACACTGTCATTGTTGAGAGAGGAAACACTTTTGAAAGTGTTGAGATTTCCAGATTTCAAATTTTCTGTTCAAATCCTGAAGGAAATGATGACCAGTCCTCATAAAGGTCAGAGATATTTTGACACTAGCTCCAACCAGCTTCTGCACTGTTCAATTTCCAAATTTGCAAACTTCATATAAGTGATGTTGGTCATCTAAACATGAAATCTGTATGACACAGTTTTTATAACGAGTATAAAAAAAATACACAAAATGTGTATAAATCCTATATGACTTTAATTTGACTAGCATATGATTCAATATAAGAACTTTAAATGATTTGTATATGAATATCGTATGTTTTCTACAAATACCATACACCATATTGCATACTTTTGTCATGTACAACTCATATAAGACTTTTTACAGTATTCACATATGATGCAAAAATCCCCTATAAGTTGTATGTGTTACTATTTAGTATGAAAGGGGCCATAATTGGTCTGATTTTGTTTAGGACATGTATTGGTCTTACATGAAAAACATAAGGTTATTCTGTCCAATTTAAGTAAGGAAGATAAATGTGTCACAGTCCTCGTCTGCACCAGTCTGTCTTCGTCATCTTCACTACACTTCCCAGGATCCTATAGTTTCCACACCTGAACTCATCCACTGGTTCATCGTCCTGTTCATCTGTGTCACCTGTCTTCACCTTGTTTTGTTTGATTCATTCTTGCATTTAGTTTGCTTCTGTTCAGTCTGTCCTTGTCGGTCGTTGTCAATGTTAATTTGTGTTTGCTCCCGTCTGCCTGTTTCCGTGCTTGATATTTTGTAAGTAAAGTGATATTATTTGGAATCTGGACTCTGTCTGTTCATCTGCCTGCACCACAACCGTGACAGAACGACCAACCACAAAGAAGAGACAGCATGGGAATTCTCCTCACCCCAGCTCATTCACTCTTCAACATATTTCAAGATGGTCATACTATAGAGGAGTATGTTGTCAAATTCCTGGAACTCTCTGCTGGGGTAAGTTGGTCAGATGATGTCTTCAAATCAGTCTTTTGGTTGGGTTTGGACGATCATCTGTACAAGCAAGCCCCAGCAGCAGCGTTTCCAGGAACCTTTGCTGGGTACCTCGATCATGTGTTGTGGTTGAGTGGGTCAGTCTTCACCATTGGTTGACATTACCATACTACCACACACACCAGCCATCATCGCCGTCCAGCCCGAGACAGTCCACGTCCCGCCTGCTCATCGAGAGACTGTCCATGTCCCGCCTGCCCAGCGAGAGACTGTCCACGTCCCGCCTGCCAGCGAGAGACTGTCCACGTCCAGCCTGCCAGCGAGAGACTGTCCACGTCCCACCGAGACGGCCAAGCCAGAGTCTCGTCCCGCCTGCCCAGCGAGAGACTGTCCACGTCCCGCCGAGACGGCCAAGCCAGAGTCTCGTCCCGCCGAGACGGCCCCGCCAGAGACTGTTGGTGACCCGGCTGCCATAATCCGGGGATTCACCCCAAATATTTTTTGGGGGGGCCCAATGTCCCAGCCGTGGCCCCCTGAAGGGTTTTCACCACCGTGGCCGCCTGAAGGGTCTTCACCATCCTGACCATGCCCTCAGCCTGCTCTGCCACGTCCTGCTCCTTCCCGGCCACACCCTCAGCCTGCTCTGCCCTGGCCACGCCCTCAGCCAGCTCCGCCACATCCTGCTCCGCCCTGGCCACGCTCTCAGCCTGCTCCGCCACGTCCTGCTCCGCCCTGGTCACGCCCTCAGCCTGCTCCGCCTTGGTCACGCCCTCAGCCTGCTCCGCCCTGGTCACGCCCTCAGCCTGCTTCGCCCTGGACGCCCAAGGGTTAATCTGCTCCGCCCTGGCACGCCCATGTTCTGCTCCGCCCTGGACGCCCGAGGGTTCATCTGATCCAACCTGGCCGCCTGCACTCCTGATCCACCCTGGCCACCTTGCACTTCCTGATCCGCCCTGGAGGCT